AATTTATGAGTGGGAGATTAGGTTGCCCTACAACGTAGCTTGCTGAAATGTGAAAGGGTCTGTAATCAAATATTTCATTGAATGTAACCTGAAAGAGATGGGAACAGCTTTAGTTTTTCTTGTTTATCTTTCTCTCTATAACACTTTGAACTCATGTTGGGTAATGTCATTTCAAATGTTACGCAGGAGGCGGCTACATGACACCTTTAACTACAGACATCACATAATTCTACAGATGTTGATCTCCTGTTTGACTCTCACCGAGTCTATGAGAACATGTGCAAACCCTCTCACATGTAATCCTGAAACTATTATGCAGATGTACATACTGATGCAATACTGATTGAACATACTGCTTTCATTCCCTTATGACACAATACACATTGTAGGACGTGCATATATTAATTTTTCATCCCATGCTTCCTTCTTCTTAGACATAACTAGATTGAATCGGAAATAACATCCAAATCCCCAAAGTTCATCAGATAAATAATTCATTCAAACAAACAGAATTAAAATCAGACTCTGATTGACAGAAAATATAAACATGGACTTCAATATTGGGAGTAAACTTGATACTAGCATTTACAAAGGTACTTGATACATTTTGACATTAAAGTGTACTGACACAATTTTTGTGCAAGGTTTACAGTGAAGTCAACAATATTATATTATTAAATTGTTAACAGCTATCTCCATAGCTCTCTCTATGTTTTGTATTTATATTCTAGATAAGTGCTGCCCCTACGATCCATCTTTGATCACATAAATGTTTTATATTAATTAGAGTAGGTTATCACGATGAGAAAAGTAAATAAAACACCCACACACAAGTTTACCAATCTCTTTTAATAGCGTGAAGTCCCTTTAAAACCCCTTTAAAGGGATCGTTTAACAATGTTAAATCTGAGATACATGGCCCTACGTGTTATCAGTGTCTGTGATATGGTGTAATATTGAAGCCCTAAAAAAATTGCGCTTCAAAATGATCAAGAAGTGCCTCAAAAAAGTAAAAATCTTTGAGTGACCGGTTTTACCATACTCGTTTTCCCCAATAGACTGTAGTGTTATGAAAACCGTCAGGCGAAAGGTTTTCAAAATTTGTAATTCCAATCATAAATATCTTGATAATCAGACAGGCGATCGGCTTGTAAAAGTCATGGGGTTCCTGACTGACCTAAAGGTTTATAATTATCATTGCATCATGAGCTAAATCCAGATTTTTGTTTCAGAATCTGAGACAAAGTTACCGGATCCCTTTAAAACCATCAAGCTCAATTATTTCAAGAGCTTGCTACTTAAAGCGAGTCAATTACTTTTTGACATACACTTGTCAAGTGGAAAAGGAACTCAACGTAAGCATGTTACTGTAATAACATTAATGAACAGCAAATGTTCAGTTCATTAGGATGTATGGAATTAGCAGCTTTATCTCATAAATCTCTGATAACGTAGCCATTTAATTACAGTTCCACAAAAAAAAGAGATATTTACTGCTCAAGAGAATTAGAAATGGATGTATACTCGGTTAATGCCACAGGCATTTTGGTGCGATAATCATCTCAAGAGATTTGACAAGTGGATTTAAACGATGCCAATCGTGTCATTTGACACCCGTGTCTGACTGTCACTAAAATTGGCATGGAGAGTCAGTCGTGGGTAGTCGAGCAATACATTGAACATGAAGCCTACATGTAGCATAGTCAACATTTCATTTACATGCACATCACTTCCTGCTATTGTTATCTTCCTCTCTGTCATCTCTACCTCTCCTATCATTTGTTTCACTGCATGTATTAAGATTTACAATTCCCACAACCACTGTTTGTAATCATAAATAAAATAGGTGAGGTAATTAAATCAATGAAGTTTGTTGAAATGGGTCATAAACAATTTGTTAATGATTATTGGTGCTGAATCTGGCTCTGATTTTAACTGACATTGCAACTATAAAAGTGTGAAGGATTGACACCCATAAATATGTAAACTTTAATTGGGATTTTGTTATAGTATTAAAGGGCTATTTCTAAATGTACAGAACGCAATCCATCATTCTACTATCTTTCATACAAAATCTTGTAATTATACAAAATGCCTATTTTTCATTTATTTCATTAAAAAATGGAAAATAACTTGAAATGACTATTTAATTATGTTAGCAATACCAGAAAGAGTCAATTAGTCTTCAGGTAAAAAAAAAGCAGAACAGATTTTTGAGCAATGTTTTGCACCTTGGGCCAACTTTACAATTCACATTCAATCTTAATGTATAAGAACATTACACTATCTTCTTCCCAGCTATTTTACATCTATATGGCAATTATTCATACGATTATGGCTCAGGTGTAAAGCCCTTTTTATGCATGCGTTGCATTACAAATTTCCCCTTGTGTAAAAGGGCATTTATTATGCAATTACTATCTCATATGTAACCCCTTTAAGCATGCGTTTCATAATACAAATTTTCCTCTCGTGTACAAAAAGGGCACTTATCGTGCATAAACTAAATGTGTAACTTGGCAACTAGTGTGTCCTTACACTGTAGATACAAAACCTCTTGCTATGAAGGGCAAAAAGATTACACAGCTGTTGCTTCATACAGACATGTGACATGAATGTTCGAACCATTGATGTAAGCTTGACAATGTTCCAGTGAACTTTGATTGGGATTTAATTGAAGTAAACATTGAGGATTAGAAACACCTCACTATACATTTGTTTCCTTAATTATACATGAAAAACAACGAACAAAAAATAATGCTCGAGTGCAAAAGATCTACGCTGTAAATGCTGATCATAATTACGACTATACTGTGAACATACTTTTTAAATGTATGGAAAGCTTTGGGAGATTTCGGAGGATATTTCCAAGAATTTTCGATCGAAAGTCCTGGCTCTGTCTGCAAGACAAGTTCAGACTTTCAGTAACCTTTTAATTTTGTCTAAACGTAAATCTTTTTTTTTAAATCTCTCTCCAAGGGAGCTCTATGAGGAGAAGTTTGTTACAGGGCAATTTTTTGTTCTTACCACCCTCTTTTTTAGCTTTTGGTGACTTGGATGCTTTCAGCTCTCATGTACTTGCTAGTAAACCTTGACATGTGCCTCAACTTTCAAGAGATTTAATTCAAGGTTGCTATAAGTTTTTCCTTTTTTGATTACTCCAATCTAGATGCAAATTGGTATGTGAATATCCCTACACGACCTTTATTATATCTCTCATTTTTTCCCTCAAAATTATGGAGAAAGAAAATTATCTCATGAAAACAAACCATCATAGTATTAAGCATTCATAATGTGCACGTGCCCCCTATTTGTCCATGTCTTTCATATAAATACAGTACAAAGCATTAGCTTTTAGTACTAATAAAGTGGTAAGTAACAGGAAAAAAGGTCAAAATTAGCATAAGATGATGCATGGTAAGTGATAAGATTTCATCCGACTTTAGTGATCTTCATGGCTTCGTGCACCTACAGTGGCTAATCTGATGCATGAGAGAAATACTGATTTTTGTCCCTTCTATTCATATAAAAATCCATTTTAAGGAGAGAGAGCGCAAAATGCAACTCGTGTTAAAGATAAAGTTGAGTTCTCGTCATGCGATTGCATTGTGAAAGAAACGTAGTGGAAACGATCAGAAAAGGTTGATCATCTAGCATAGAAGTATTGGTATGTACTGCAAGGTTCTGGAATCATCAAAATGATAAGAAATTTGGCCCAGTCTTGGTAAAGTTACAAGCACTGTACACAGAAATATGTATTTGGGACTACACAAACAAGTGGCTTAAAAATCCGTCCTGATTTTTATGCTGTTATAATATGCCATATTTAGAATATTAAGGCATTTGAAGAGCCATGCATTTCAGAGAACATTTTTTATCTGATGTTCTTCCACACTTGCATTATAACAATGATAATGTTCACAAATTATTTTTCACCTCTTCCCAGTACTCAACCTTCTCTTTAACAGTGACTGCCCCATTTTCCTTGACATTGATATGTGTATGTATTCCCAGGTCGATATGGCTTAATGGTATTCCTCTATTCCTCTCGACAGCTTAAAATGCATGTAAATCAACTGACAGTGTCCATCTATGAAGGTACTGTCGAGTAGTGGGAAATGTAAAAAGAAAATGAATATCTCATTTTCCTATACCTAATTAAAAAAAGCTCCACATGGAAAATCTAACAGCATTGTATAATCTTGGGAGATGTGACCACCTGTCTAATGTGGCCATCTAATTTATCTGCCTCTAAAAAGAAATGTAGTGTAACCTGTCTACAAAGGACACTAGTCTAAAGATGCCAACATTTATGTTTCCCTTAGGTGGCCATAAGCTAATACAAGGTTCATTGTACAGTCAAAGTATTCTAGTTCTTATAGCCACCTCTATATAAAAGGCCATGTGTCTGACACAGTTACTAATTTATATGTACATGCATTTCCTTTTTAATAGAACCTGTATAGAAAGGCCACCTGTAGACAGAGGCCAAATTTTCTTTTGGCCGTCAGGTGGTCTTTATATAGGTTTGCTGTTGAATCAAAACTGTTGTAGTAGCCACCTGAAGGTAATTTGTCTGTAGCAGTCATCTAATCTGTTGTAGAACCTGCCTAGAAAAGCCACAGGTTACAGTGGCTACTCTTTCTGTTTCCATCATATGTCCATTATAGACAGGTTACAAGCCTCTTTCAAATATGACGCGGTATGCCACTGTGTTATTTTTTCTTGATGACCTAAGTGTATAAATATGCTCAATATTTCACAGTGAATATTATGCAAAGGACCGTTGTTATGTGCAGTTGCGTTTTATTTACAAATTTCTTTAAAAAAACGTTTTAAAGAGCGCTGTGGTTTGGTTTCCGGCTTCATGTCTGAACAAGCCTTTACGGTAGGTATACAAAAGAGTCTGTAGTTGATACAACTTGCAGAATGCACAGGGAACAGACTGCATAAAATGTCAACACCAATGAGATTCCCTTACACGGCCTTGTCACACCTACCTGATATCCTAATGCTTTGAGAATGTTGAGCTTGCACATTGGACATGTTCTATTTTCTACCAGCCACTGGTCTACACATGTTTTGTGGTAGCTATGCCTGAAAGAGAAGAGAGAAAGGAACGGTCACCAGTCAAAGTCAGTATACAGGTTCAAGATTTTTTATTAGGGGGGGGGGTGAATAAAAATACAAAATAAACATCACTTGGAGTTGCATCTTTTCCACACAATAAACGAATCTATGAATTCAAAAAAGTATGTCATTTCTTATCCTCAATTATCCTGTTTCCTGCAAAATACTCACAACTGGGACATTTCAACATAAGAAAAATGAATATTAGTCAATAGGTACCTGAGTTGTGCTTCAGTAGGCAGTAGTCACCAAGCAATTTATTACAAAATTTATCCAATACTATAAACAAATATGGTTTGAGTGATAATGTTAATTGAGAGCCACAATAATGAGATCATTGTAGAGAGATACAAATCAATAACCTTCTGGTTTTCGACAGATATTATTAATACTTTCGATTCTGAAATGAGAATTTTGATGACCATTAGAGACCTCAATCAGAAAGGGAAAAAGTTTGTAAAAAAGTATGTACCATCTTATCCTATTGCATTTTCTTCCACATCTATTTGAAGTTGATCTCTTGGTGTGTTGTGGCCCAAACATGTCGCAAAGTTATACTTCCAACTTCACCCCTGATTGAAATTTAGAAGTGAAGATAACACTTTGACTTACTTGCATGGCAGGACCCTGAGGATATCACTGATTCTGTAAAACTCTAGGCAGATAGGGCAGGCCTCGATTTCAACCATTTCCTGTGAGGAAAGAAGAAATGGATGGGGAGGGAACAAGAACGCCATTAGTTACATGCTGATTGGACTATACAGGAAAAAGAAAAGCTATATAGCTACGATATGATCCAAATTCCCTCATTCTCTGGTACCATGTATAAGAATGCGATTATTTACCATTTAATTGGACAATACAGGAAAGAAAGACGAGCCATAAATGCAGTGATAGCTAGTGCTACAATCTGTCCCAAGTTCCCTTTAAAAACATTCCCAGTAATGTCATTATATACATATACCACTTAAATGGAAAATACAGGAAAAAATAAAAGTTACATCTTTTGCTGTATTCTGTGAAAAATTCCCTTTAAAACAATTTTCTAGTACAGGAATGCCAGTATTCACCATTTAATTGGACAATACAGGTAAAAGACAATCCATAAATATAGCTAGAGATACAGTCTGTACAAAATTCCTTTCGAAACCATGATTTTCTACAACCATGTATAAGAATGCCATTGGTCACCACATTGGGCAATACAGGAAAAACAAAAGATATACGGTAGCTATACACTTGTAGCTACATGTATATACAATGTAGTCTGTTCTAAATTCCTTTTAAAACCACTTTTTAGTATCAGGTACACAATACTCAAATGAAAGCATTGTCATAAACAGGATGTTATGACCTTTATAATCGCAGCCTACTGCTGTACATCTACATACATACAAAAACCAAAGCAATTATCCCACTTATGTGATGGTAATAAGATAAATTACTTATGGCTTCAGCCTGTTCCCAAGTGGAAAAGGGGTTTTCCCTACTCTCACTTTCCTGTCTGTACAAAGTTGAGGGAGTAAGTAGACTAATCTGCTTTTTCTTCCTATGTTCACACAGAACCTCCAGTTTTCAAAAAAACCTAGAATTTATAAAACCATGATCCACTAACCACAAGGAGGGTTCAAACAGGACTAAAACAACGAGTGTTCAAAGTTTTTAACGAAGTATAGCAAGCAGTCATTAACTACAAGCTTGCATAACTTCATATGAGGACTCCCAGCTGTTCATAGTTATCGCACTAACCTTAAGGTCGCTCATGGTTAATAACTTTAGGAATAAATTAAAAGTTTCATAACTCATACAATTGCGTCCACACGGTCCCTAACTTATGTACAGGATAACTTTGAAATTAAAAGACCACTACCTGGACTTCAATTTAACAGAATGTAGGTAGACAGGTCCAACAAAAAGCAAGATTTGAATCATGATAACAAATCTTAAATTTGAGTTTGTGAAAAAAGGCTTTATAGCTCGTGCCAAATTTGTCACAACCACCAAAATTCAGAATACCTTCAATGCAAACCATGTACACATTGGTTTCACATGAACATATTTGTACATAAAGTATATGAATTCTTGAAAATTTGCACTAATTTCTAGATTTCAAGCATAGCAATGTGTATCTACACACACATTACGAGACAAAGCTCTCATATATCTCTCATTCCATTTCAAGTATCTTTGAATTGCACTTTGCCCCTATTAAACAAATCTTTTGAGTTGGTCAAGTACTTTCGTCAATCAAAATGATATAATCACGACAAATAAAGATGTGGGAGTTGTTTGATAATGAGTGAGATATTTGTAAAAGATCCGATCAACAATAACTCCGGAGATGAAGAATATTCAAAGAAGGCTCCCATGAATATGTTGCAGCCGGCAGACGTACGTGTTGCCCAGCGTTTCCACGGTAACCAGTGATTTTTTTTTTCTTGACAGAATGTTGTAGAAATAGAAAAATTGGAGGTCAAAATGCTGCTGTTGTCAAGGAAACGATTCTCAAAGCTTTCTCACTCTCCTGCTATTACGGAGAAAATGTGATTATCAAAAGAAAGTAATACCACAAGCCATGGTATGATCATAATGAAGAGGAGCAGACAAATCAAATGTTTATCACGATCCAGATTTTAACCTTGCCATATTATTAATCATCAAATCTCTTGTAGACTGCAAATACATTCTTCTGATCTACATTATACCGAAAACAGAATGTTAAATACAAAAATTATCTTTTGTATCACATCCACAATAATATGATACCATGTCATTTTCTAGGACACATTAAAAAATGTATCAATCCATGATTTCATGAGCGCAATTCATTTTGAATATGTTTCTTCCAAGTACTGGCAGAATGATGCCATTAAATATCTGTATCATATTTCTCTTTCTTAAATTTATTATTTCAAATATTTATATCTGACAATTAAAGTGGAACATGTAGATGCTAAATTATCTCCTCTAGTGATCAGAATTTATGAGTAGGTAATCCATCTTTCACTGCCTCTTGTTATGCACCATTAGGTTTAATGGCTCCTCCTTTCTCTTCACCTCCATTACAAGATTGAAGCAAGAAAAGGAGAAAACTAAAGAGAAGAGAAAAAACATGACAAACTTCCAACTCTCTGGATAGAGAGAACCTGACTTAATACAGACTGTTCAGATTATAAGGAATATATATATACGTAACTCGTATAAAGAATCATTATATTGTGAAAGAGGCAAACAGACTAGAAAACAACATTGTTTATTGTGAAGAGGTCGACTGAATATTTCAGCTGGCCGATCTTCCTTGCAGTCACGATTTTAAAACGCCCAGTTTTACAACTTTCCTACGATAAAACCTTTAGACTAGAACAGGGCTCTGATTCTTTATTGAGTTTTTGTTCAAAGCGAGGCTCAAACATGCATTACACTTTATGACGTTTCTTTACACATTGTTTCGTTTACCTGCCATTCAGACTAGAAAAAAAGGTATTTACTCATCATATAGCAATATGAAACAATTGTTGTTAATCTGAACACGGGAATAGAAATACCAAGTGTACATCTATCTAATTAATATCTTATTTGGGTTTTATGGAAACGTTGGAGTTCAATTTAATTTCATTATTATATATGCCAAATACTATATATTTTCCAACAAATGCAAAAATAGCGTACTCTCACTAAATTCTTTTAAATGCATGTTAAGGTATTATCGCTCTCTTGAACAATACATTTAGGTGAAAAATAACAAATTTGTATCATTTGATAATACATGTAGGTGGAAAAACATTGTGTTGCTTTAAACAAAAACAACAAAAAAATTATCTTGTATAATCAGCTATATTCTTGTTGTTGATTCTATTGGTTATATTATGTACTGTATGTATATTCATATATGTTTTGTTATGTTTTGTAAAGTCGAAAGCAATATTGAATAAAGATGATTTTATCAAAGAGGAAAAAAAGAAAAAAAAGTGTACATCTTCCTTTCCTAAAGGGTGATGGGTTCTTGAGAAATGATGGTTTCTTGAGAAATGATGAGTTCTTGAGAAGTTGTGTGTGGGAGGAGTAGGGGAATGACTTTGGCTAGAGATATCTTGACGTATACGAAACAATTTCTGGGAAAGGATGCATGGGGAAGGCATTGATTAGTTTGTACCATGCTCATCAATTAACGATGCTTGAGAAATGAAATGAAACAGAATATTAAGAACTAGTACAATTATTCAGGTGGGCTTGGGATATCATATGTGAGTGCATGCAAATGATGAAAATGTCTTCACGTCATACTCACAAGTACCGGTGGTTATAGGTACAGTGTACAGTAGCTTTTTAAATAGGTGCTGAGAAATCTACCCAAAGTTTGTGTGAAGCAATATCATTTGAGACATGATCTCATTGTAATTTCTTTTCAAAGTTAGAATGCTTTGACAAATTATGTATAATTTTCGAATTCTTTGTACCACACAAATTCAAACAAAATCAAAATAATGATTTCCCCTTTTCATCACAATAATCAATATTGATCCCTTTTTTCAAACTTTACTGGATATATTTTGTATGTTATAAGACAAATTAATAAAAAATTAAACTACATCTCATTCAAGATACACAATACTCCAAATATTTCGTATACTGAGACGAACATACCAGCCAACTTCCAACAACAAAAATTAACAAATCTCTGAGGACAAATTTACACGTAAGTTATCAGTGCATTTTGGATGATGTTATAAAGTTATTTTAACTACCGGTAAAGTAGTTTTCAGAAAAAGCAAAGAATGGATTCAACCATGAGTTTTAAGGTCAGAAAATGAGAATCATCTCTGAAAATTGCCAAAAATTTGAATGGAAGCTGGACAAACAGAGTCTATTGCATTTGAGTTTATATGCACATGTATTTACACTAGCTATTATCACATTCATTACACATACCCCATAGCAGCCTACAGCCACAGCTAACTCTTGCCTTTCATTCAACAATTCAAAGTCATGACCCTCGCAGCCGATCGCCTCCACTTCTCTCTATCCCTCGCGATTTATATAAACACGCAGTAAACGTGTTGGCTTGCGAAACATCATGGCAAAGGTTTCCAAGAAGTGGGATACGGGCCAGGGAATAATTGTTGAATACGAGAAACGAGAGTGGAGGGGGGGGGGGACGACGATGGAATAAGCAATCTCTCTCAAGATGAGATATCTGCATGCCCAAGGCCGCAATCCTTCTTGCGGATGGCTAGGAGACCGCACAACAAAACTCGCATATATTCCATGGTGGCTCTTCCTTCATGCATAAGTAAGATTAGCATAACCACAAGAAATCTAGATACTGAGAAAAAATGCTCCAACTGGTAAAAAAAATAAATACAGATGATTCCAAAATCATAGCAAGCTGTACTATTTCACAGTGAAAAAACACAGGGGCTCATTCTGTTAATACTGTATTGCCATATTAAAAGTGAGATTCTAGAAACAAAAAGAAAGACAAATAAGGATGATTCCAAAATTAGCAAGCTCTACAACATAGCAGGATGCATATTATTTTCTTGTTCACAGAGCTCTTTCTGGACTTTTCATAATGAAAGTTAGATAACCGCAAGACAGTTCTTATCTTCTGATTTTCTTGACTATTCAGCTTATTCGCCAGAGCTATTATTTTTTTGTAGCTCTTTTTCTGCTTTGAAGAGCTTAGTCGTTCACTTTTTGTGATGCCTTTTTTGTTTGGTGATGGTTGATGTTTTTGCTCCACCATAATAAAGAAAATTCGTAGGCCAGTAATGGATAGGATTCAACTGAATTTCTTTCAAATGTCTTGAAAAAAGGAATAAACTCCCCAATCTATGCATCAATATGCATCGAAAGGTGTTATTGTAATGTGCTACATAAATGTAACATATTATTATTATTCTTAAGACAACTTTATACATGTCAAGAGACAAATAAAACTGCAGCTTTAATATACATGTTTATCTTCACCCTATATCTTGATGGTGCATTGAAATATTGCACTTCAATGACACTAAAATAATGACTTCCTGATAGTAACTAATCTCCTTATAGTATTAATAACGCTAAAATAGTAATATTCAATATTGCTTTCATATTTCTTATCAATTCATATCTTTTTTTTCTTCAAAAGGATATACTGTAATAATGCACCGCCAATTTGCCTGCATGGCTCGCATCTTTTGGATTTTACTTTCTGATGAGTCATCGCCATAATCGTTCTCCCTGGCTCGCCTTGTAGTTCGTAAATAAGATAATTACATTCATTTCTTGCTTCTTCCTTCTGATCTCCGTTTGCGGCGGCTGAAATGTACAAAACTGCCACACCCATCTCTCACCTTGGCTTTGTAGCATGTTGTTTCTCTGACATGCTATTAGCTTATAAATGAATCATGATTTAGTGCTTGGGAGTAAGAAGAGAACCCAAATCTAATGGAAACCTTACATAAAATGTATGTTTCTGAAAGTGGCATGAATTCATTTTAAAGCAAAGAGTGCGTTAAATTCCTCTATACTTCCCATGTCCAGCAATCACACAATTTCTGTTCGTTACTATGTTCACACAAACGATGGACCCTTACTCTGAATTTAGTTTCTATTCTGAAATATGCTAAAATCTCTGTTTCTTTCATTATGTTTCATTATTTGATTCATTATATGACATGAAAGTGTTCAGAAATAAATTACTTATTAACCGATATCATAAAGAGCTCTACAAAGAAATATTGACTTATCTCATAAAAAACAATATACACTACAGCTCTTACGGCTTTTTTGCAGGCAGCGGACGATTCATCTCGGCAGCAACAGAGGCAAGGGGCTCATAATTCATACTTTAATAAAAAGCTATTAATTTTATCAGGGCCTGTTACACAAACAATTCCCATCCGTTCTTTCTGCATCAGCGCCATCTACAAGCAATGATGTAGTGTGGCCTGAATATTGCATGCAGCTCAAGGGAATAGGGATGTCAACATCGTGTATGATTATAATGAAAGGATGATATCAGTACCAGGTTTATAATGTATGCCAGGTAATGTTTTAGGAAGGTACAGTACAAGTGTACATGTAGAAGTATGAGAGTGAGAAATGAATAAGATTGTAGAAATGGAGTATAGAACAGAAATAAAAAGAACAATAAACCCCTAAAGAGCAAGATAGAGCTTTGAGCTGAGAAAGCATAAAACACTGAAGAAGTGATGAATAATTTCAAAATGAATATTATCAAAAGGGAACATTTTCTGAAAAATAATTTATCTCTTTCTTCATGAAGAGATCAATAATTGTCATGACTAATTTAATTGCAACATAATTAATGTTTGTGCAGATGTCTTAATGAACTATATGTGCATACAGCTATCTATAAGTGGTCATTTACCACTGCTGCCTAATAATCTAGATTTGTTATGACAATCCCTACATGTACATGTATGATCAAATGAAAAGATGGAATGTTTTTCAGAATACAACCCAATGCCCGCTTTTAATATTTGATGATAATATGAAGCAAAAAACTCAACAGTTGAGACAATACAACTCTCACAAATCCCCTTGAAACTTGCAATGAAGAGATGCCAACCTCTTGACACAAAAAAACAGACTGAGTATCCTAAAAAAAAATCAGATTTTGGAGAGAGAAATCAGATTTTCACGAAAACTCGACACTACCAATGACCGGTTGGCCCCGGGCCAGTAAAATTTCAGAAAAATGTGATACTGGTACGTACAGTCAAGTAAAATGTTTGCTCTTTCATTAAAATTTTTAAAAAAAATTGGGCTGCAGGGGTTTACTTGTTTATGTTTTAATGCGATTCCATGGTTTTTATGGGTATTACAAAAAAATATTAAAAAAAAAAAAAAAAAAAAAATGGTTTTGTTTTGAAAAATCGTATTTTAAGAGGTGATATCGTATTATCGTATTCCACTCTTATTATCGTACTAAATACGAATAAATCGTACTGGTTGGCACCTCTGGCAATGTGTCTAATTAAGGACACATGTAATGTACATAACAGTCATTACAAATATAATGAGGTCACTAACATGTTACAATTGCAGGAAAAAAATATGAAAGTTACATACATGTAACCAGAACTGATCTAAAAATAAGCCCCTCCTATAATATGAGAATGAGAAACATACACACTCGCATCTCAACATGGAGATACACATACATGTAAATGTTTCCGCCATAGAAGCTCATGTGAATATATAGTTTTTACTAAGGAAGATCGTGCAGTACAGGGTCTTCCATTTCTGATTATGCTGTGGTCTTCCCCAATAAGCTTGACAAATGGCCTGAATCCATTAAGATATCAGCTGAAAAATCCTGATAAATCAATCATGTTATATATGAGCAACAAGCTGGACTGAACAAACCGCCTCATCCATACTTACATTTACAAGTTGGTATCTAAGCAGTCCTTTAGTGGTGGAAGTATCAATTCACTGTGCAAACTACAAACACGCAATCATCAAAGTTGATATGGAAGGATCAATGATGTGTTTTGAAGGATTTTAAGACAACTACATGTACATGCACATGTACCCCCTTGGACTTCTACCCTGTAACAACACCACTTCTGATTACTACCCCAAGACAACTACGCCCCCCCCCCCCTCAACAACAAAAAAGTAACTAGGACAATTACCCTATTAAGGTAACCCACTGACTACTTAATTGTCTCATCCCATAGGCTTAATACAGCATCCTACTGCTTCCCACAGACAATGGGTTAAAAACCCAAAGATATTAACTGCACTCCGGTTTTTCGCCCTTAATTTTTTTTTTTTGTCTTGTTCGTGTCCGTGTTAAAAAACCCATGTGGGTTGAATGTGTAAGATCATTAATGTAAATTAAAAAACAGTAAAGGACCTAGGATAGAACCTTGTGGTACACCGTGTGTAGGAATTATTATTATAAACTATATATTGAGATCTATCAGAAAGATTACTTTCAAACCAAGATGACAGACAAATTTGAGTGTTGTTCTAGTTTCCGAGTGGTGAGTCAACACACCGATTACTCTACTGAGAAAAAAGTGCGGTTAATACACCGTTAATTACGGTAGTTGTCAGCGAAGTTATCAAGTTAATTTCCAAATTCCAAAGAAGTGGTCCTCTGAGGGAGAAGGTGGTTGATATTTGAAATGGTAGCCACCGTGATACATACACCGTACACCTTTGGACTTGCCATCTACATGTATCCTGGAAAACAAGCTCGGTATTTCCTTTCATATTAATCCCATCACACGTAATCTATCAACAAGGCAAGATTAGAAGGTAGATAATGTTCCTTTTAATTGCATTCATCATGGAAATTAGTTTAACATTCATGGGTTCAACCGAGTACATGTAGGGCCTACAGCGTGCATCGTGAGAAGAATGAATATTAAACGAACGATGTAAAGTCATGGATGAAATGATCGAGACATGTATTTGCAGCAATAAGCGGTTTTCATTATGTTTGACATTTCCAAAAGACAAGACTTTCATATCATTAGCCAACTCTAACGAATAAGTAGATAAAGTAATTAGACAATAAATAAGACTTCCACACAGTATCCTTATCATGTTTGATCATGGCAGAGTCATACGGAACCAAACTGAAGTGTCTAGACATGTATGTAAACAAATTTAAGTTTCCAGACCCTAGTTTGTGATTGCGCTTACGAAGTAAAAAGCATTTTATCCTCTTTATTGGTATTACTTTTTCCTGCATACATCATATCAAGATGAATAAACAATAGGTGCAGCATTGCCACTCACTTTTTTTGAAGGTCAATTTGCTTTAAAAATAGCAGAGAGGATAATTAAAGATCCTATCAATTACATTTAATGTGGGGAAAAATGCAAGGACATTGAGTATCTAATCCTCCCTATAAACTCTTCACAATGCCCCTGTACAAAAAAGGAGGAAAAGTGACTTGCCAAAATTCTGTCGAATGATTGCTATTAAAGGCAACATCAGAAGAAGAAACCCCCCCCCCCCCCCCCCAAAAAAAAAAAAAAAAAAAAAAAAAAAACTCTGAACATACATTTAGTTGGGCTCTGGTGAATAAAAATATATTTTTACACTTAATTTGAATAGACAAAAAGAAAATCATCTCATCGATTCACAGATAAGCAGGTTTCGTAACATTTGAACATTCTTACCTGATCGCCATCTTTAACTGTTCTTAAGGGTAGCTTAGCAATAACTTTCTTGGCTGCTCTTCCTAATTGTTTCTGTTTAATAAAAAAGAGAAGAGAACACAAAATTTAAAAAACTTACGTTAGATTGTTAATTTAGAATGAATTGCCTTGAATGGGGGCAATTATCATAGGTGAAGTGGGCACTTAGGAGAGGTGGTAAGGGGCACTTATAAGAATATGGAACATGCATCTATTAGAAATAAAAAGGGGCACTTATCTATAGTAAAAGGGGTGCTTTTCCTATGTAAAAAGGGGAACTTTTGGTGTACTTGAAAGAGTCGCCCCCCCCCCCTTCCACCGGTAGGAAATACATTTTCTAAACAAACTGATTTCAATGTTATCAACTTGTTTTTACTATCATCGACAGCGCTTTAGTACTGTTCACATAATGTTTATAAATATCTTTTTCTTTTTATCTTTAACCTTTTTTCTTTTTTTTAGCAATATAAAAAACTGCAGAAATTGCTTCCTTTAGATATTATTCAGGATGACAGAAGGATATTACAGATGAATATTGACTTGAATTATATGTCATCCTGCAAATGAGAAGACAACATCCACAGGGATTAATATGTATGGGGCTGTATCCTTGAATTAAGCTTTTTTTTCCCTTCTTTTTTTTAAAGCCATGATTATAACTGCTAATTAGGCAACTGGGAATAACACAGTCTACACAAAAAATATCATGCCAAAACAACAGCAATTTAAAAAATCACCCCCCCCCCCCTTACAAAAAAAAAATCAAAAATAAAATGTGTACTTATTGAAATCATATGTCTAGGCAGTTGGGCCCTATTCTGATCCAAATACAAGACTCATTTTCAACAAAATGTCCTTGAGTTTACATCTCCACAATTATTATTCCAGTGGTACAAGACACTGCTTTGAAATGAGACAAAGTCAGCACCCTGGAGGATAGGCCTTGCTAACCTTTGTCAAGTGGGAAGGTGGGGGGGGGGAGCAGGGATGGGAGCAACCCAAGGGAATATGAAAACAATAATACAATGAAAAGGGAAGACAGGCTAACATTTGTCAACAACATTACTTTGAGTGTTTGAATTTGTTGGCAGAACGTCAATTTAAAAAAAAATCTACTGTTTAAACATCAACTATGAGAGGGGGCAAGTGCCCCTCTGCCCTCCCCCCCCCCCCCCCAGCAAACTATATGCCTTGGTGGGTGTGTGGGAAGGAGTACTTCTGCCTCCTTCATAAAAGTGGCCCTATTGGGGTCTCTGGGGCTACATACTGTAAGAGTGTTGTAATGCTAAATGCCAGAGGAATGGATGTGACTGGAATTTTATAGGGGCCCTCACAGTCTCAAGGTGGTACATTATTTCCAAACAGATGGCAGATTCATTATAGAGCATTTATTTCTTCAAAATAACTGGAGCTAGTATAATCATACTGCTGATGCTGACAAAAACAGTAAATCCATTAAAAAACTTTTGAAGAATCTCTCTGCTACTGTTCATGAAGTAACAAATTCACACTAACACTTCTGTGATACCAGTAATATTTAACTTTTGAAAACACAGGTTTCTTACCGGTTTCGAAATAAATGTAGATTTTTCCCTAAATAACACTTATATTTTTACTTTTAGGGATGTACTGTCTATTATTGACAATCATTGATCCTCCAGAACATCCAGACTACTTCTTAGTAAAAGATAAGAAAAATGGATGTTTTGATATATCTAAAAAAATGATAATAGTAACTGTATTAAAATGGCAGGAAAATATATCTGTGGCAGTTGAATTTGGTAGCCTCAGCCTTTTTCGATGTTGCCTGGCTGGCTGGCAACCCAAATAAATGGGCTACATGAAAACAAGCTACCTATAAACATTAAGGCCCAAATGTACAAAGGAGGGTTACATTTAACCCATGGTTTAAACCTTCATTTACAATGTACATGTACATAACCCATGGTTTAAAATTAGCGCAAATTAAGCGTACGTTGCCTTGCGCGCGTCTAATATTGGACCTCTTGACTTTGTTGCGCTTATTTTGCGCTAATTTTAAACCATGGGTTTAATGTAAATGAGGGTTTAAACCATGTGTTAAATGTAAACCTCCTTGTGAATTCGGGCCTAAGAGTATGCAAGTATTTATTACCTGTGTTCTCCCCCGAGCCTGAGCGTATCTGAATCTCTGTATGTAGTAGAATACAAGCCATGCCAGTGAGACAATCATGAGAACGATGAAGGAGACTGAGACGAAGAGAACCGATGATTTCTTGACCTCTATACGAGTGATGACCTGGGGTCCCTCTGTGATCTCGATCATGACCTGCGTCACGTTCTTGACAAGCTCTTCTATCCGCTTGCCGTGCTCAGCTTTCAAAATAATGCCAGGGATTTTCCCTAAATAGAAGAAAAAATGGATACAAAATTTGTGTTGAAAGGATTATTCCAGATTTAGTATCAGACATTCAATATATTTACCAGTGCCCCCCACCTTTTAAGAGTATCCCAAAACTGACTCTTTTTACGTGAAAAAAGTGCCCCCTTTTACTTCAGATAAGTGCCTCTTTTTATTTCTAATAGGTGCCTGTTCAAGATTTGTATACATGTAAGTGCCCAGTACCACCTCTAATAAATGCTCCTTCACCTATGATAATTGTCCCTATTCAAATCTGAGAGTAAGGCTGTGCACAACCGTGTAATGAGGTACCCGAGTACACTCCCAGGCTTAGAAGCGAATACTTGAATATTCGGACGCCATGTTTGTTTGTTTTTTTGCCACCATCATACTACGGGAGCAGTATCCCAGGTCCGTCTCCGAAAACTCTCGCAAAGGTGTACATTTCTTTATTACTGATTTCTCACTAATAAAAGTTCTTTTCCTTTTTGTATATCATGAAACTGAGGTGTCCTTTGATTTGTATGTGCATTGTACAGTAAACTTTCGTTTTTTAAGAGCCACATGATATATGAGGGCAAAAAAAATGAGGCTATCAATTTTTTGAACACCACCATTCGACTTCATAATTACCCTCACCAGTAAAACATGTTTTTTACCTGGCTTTGGGCAGATGTTATTTGAGTTACAATATGCAGGATTTAACCGGGTTTAAATACAGATGGCCTACAATGAACGTGAACAAATGTAGTCAGTAGTAGTACTCAGTGCTTTATCACTGCTGGGCCTACATACATAGAGCAAACTAGGTGGAGTAATGAAACAGAGATGTAAACAAAGCTAGGTCACAAATATTTGACTTCTGACCTTACACCCTAGGTATCATCAGTATTTCTTCAAGGGGTGCATTTACACTGCACTGCACTGTTTTATTCGCTCTTGATAAATCAATGATAACACCTCTGGAGTGTAGTTTTTGCAATGTAAACGCCTGCTGAATTTTCACTTATTTTTGCAGTGTAAATGCAAACTTCAGTAAGATACCAATTTTTGCTCACGTGACTCTCCTTACTTCTATGCTAAACACATGCAGGGCACCGACGAGTGGCGCATTCACACTACTCTCCAACAGATCAGTTGATGTTTTAACGTTTTTTATGGGTCTTTCCAGTAGTGTAAATGATAATTTTTTTAAATCAATGATTTTTCAAAATGTAAACAAAATGTAATGTCGGTATTTTTAAAGAATTGCCTGTAATATACAGCAGGGTTACATACAGAAGGCCTACGTTTTGGATACATTTACATGGTTATATATTACGGCAAAACTGCATTTTCTCATTCTTAGTGCTATTGACAGTGAAGTGTGGGGCCTGTTTTGACCGGATGTTCTTGTGAATACACTTACGTTAGCTTGTTTTTATTTACATGTATATGGGGAAGGGAGAATTTGGTTCATTGAAGTTAAATCTGAATGAACATCACTTTGGGCCTTAAAAATTGACTTTCAAACTTATTTCTTCCTCTTTAGGCTCTTCCTTTAATAATATTAACCATTTGAAAATATTTCAGCAGGATCATTGTCTGTCTACTAACAAAAATGAATCTCTTTTGGCTGTGACTTGCCCCATCTGACTTTAGAACAATATGGCTTTAATACATATTCCCATGATACGTGTACAAGTATATTTGTGGTTATTCACATGATGAATTATGATATTCTTTTGGTTGTTAACTTGATACGGTGATACCATCATACCTACGAACTGCCAGATGAATTGCATTGATCACTTCATGATTAATTACAAAGTACATGGTACATGAACTGTACATTTGTGGTTATTCACATCATGAATGTATATTGTTTTGGTCATAAGTTGATTCACCTCGTGCATTATAGTATTCTTTTGGTCGTTAACTTGATACCATCATAAATACAAACCGCCAGATGAATTGCAATGATCGCTTTCACTTCATGATTAATTACATGCACATGATACATGTACATAGACATCCCACCCTGTAAACATGATATCATCTGTTGAGTGCCAGAAAGTATTGAATACATTAGTCATCAGCATCCTCCTGGCTCTCAGCAAGTGATATGTGTTTGCATACAAATACATGTACATGCAGGATCACTGTATTCCTGTAATATAAACCTTACCTGATGGTACAGTGTATCACTTTCTGATATTTTTCGCCAGTACATGTAACTTACGGTAGGCCTACACCACAGGTACATGTATGAAATGGTATTTGCAGTTTATGTTAATCAATGCTAGAATAGTATCAGGGATAAAAAATTTGGGGCATGAGCTTGCCCTGTGCCATCCATACATACATGTACATATTAGGCCATGCTGTTGTTGTTGCGGCAATCATGTTTAATGGCGCTGATTAGGTGCGCAAAAAAAGTGTAAAGTAAGCAGTAAACTAAATAATAATTGTTTCTTTTTTATCCATTGAAGGTGGCGGATTTGAAGGGCCAACCCAAGGCCAAGATATTTCTTTGTTTTATTTGTATCCCTCCACTTCTTCTTGTCTCGAGTATCCTCCTCATTTAGACCAAGCTTACTGCTTTCTTTCATATCTTTCCGTGAATTCTTTTGTCTTTCTTTCCCTTTTATGCCATCCACTTCCTGATCCCACACTCTTTCACAGCTGGGGGAAAAAAAAGATTAAATACCTTAGACTTTCCCGAACACATTAAATGAATACAAATTAAATTAAACCTACCTTTAAAATCTACTGAAGAAGCGTCTACCTCCGGAGCATTTATCATCAATAAAGCGGAAGCGTTTCCTTCTTCAGCTAATGTCATTTTCACCTCAGGCGTGCAATTCCCATATTCCACCAGCGCAATCCAAGGTTGCTTTGGTATCTGGCTCTTTGGCAGGGCGACACAACCGTAGACGTTTCGCGATGGTCGCAGCAGAATGCCTTTGGCTTCTTTTATAGTCCCTGTGGCAAAGCGGCCATTTTCTTCTTTCTCCGTCGTGAGGTTCTTTGAGATTGGGTGTTTGTAGGTGAGGATGAGAATGGCCGTTGTCCAGGTGTCCGACTGGCTGTACAGGTCGTAGTTTTGACCCCATGAAGGCGGTAGAAGGAAACATATGATCCATAGATGGTGCAAAAATTTGGGCAGGTCCTGAATAGATGGGGGCAAGATCCTCATGCTTGCATCAAAGTGATATCCTTGTCATATATCTGAAAGAATAAAAATGATAGCTTAGAGTTACACTGTAGATGCAATCAAATAAATTGGACCGACTACTTGACCTAAATTAGTTTACCTTAGCATTGTTTTATAAATGTTGATTTGGAGGCAAAATTTTTACTTATTATTAGCATTTTGGTCTTGACTAGCTCACTACCGGTACATGCAACAAATGATCAGAAAGTTCTTAAATTTTACATTTTATAATAATAATAATAATAGTTAGTTCTTATATAGCGCTTTTCAAGACCGAAGGCCCTCTCAAAGCGCTTTACAGATATGTATTATTACCCCTACTCCTTGATCTATACAATGCCCTACTCCTTGATCTATATCAATTTTTGTCTTATACCGGTAGTCAACTTGGACCCTAGATATAAATTTTGTTAACATCGCATTAGTAAAATTTTGCAATCTCAAATTTTGATGTCTGATCGGAATGCACTGCAAGTAAAAAAAAAAGTCAATTAAAAAAAAAAGAGAGACCTTAATTCACGCACAGGAGTTTACAGCCGATTAATCACAAAAAGCTATCAATCAATTAAAAGATGATTGCATTTGCATTTGCATATTTTGCAAGGCAAGGCAACTCTTTCTATTGGTAGTTTCAGATTTTCAAAATCTTGCTGATTTTAGGGGGGGGGTAGCGAATTAAGGTCAGGCGTGACCACTATTAATATAGACTGAAAGCTACAGTCTCTAATATCGACGGTTGTTCCGCTAAGAGAAGACTACATGTACATCTAGCTCAACTGACTGCCTCTTTGTGTATGGGGAAGGTTGACAAATGTCAATTTTAGAAAACTTTTTTAAAGAATTACCCACATGCCATACCATACCAGACGGATATTTTCATCTAGGCCTACACCATAGTACATTGATAATTAAATTAATTAAGTCCTAAGCCACTTTACACTAACAGTAAGGGCACTGGTCCGAAAATGAAAAACTGTGCGCCATCTACACGTTCGTAATGGCGTTATCACAGTTTTTCCTTCATAATCGTTTTGCCTTCGGCGTAGACTAAAAGGGATGAGATTGATTTAGATGACTCCGTGCGCAGCGAGAGTTTAACACGGCTTGCAAGATTTCAACATGGATGTCGATTTTGACCCATAATTTCCTTAAAAGGGACCATTAAACGGATTATTTCAGTCAAGTTGGTAAGTGGAACCGATGTAGTATAACCTTCTCCTAATTTTAAATAATCAATGCATGAGGTAAAATGACATTTTGGGGGATTTTGGGGGCAAAACACTACGACCTGAAATGGCCGTGGCGTTATCAAGGGAATGTGTATAGACGGTTTCCGTCTCTAAAGAGAGAGCCGACCCTACCCCAATATTAAGAGGCTAACGAACGAAAGAGACGGAAAATTCGGTCTACTACCATCCCCGTTTAGCTTCCCGAGTGAGCGGCTAAAGGGATTTAATTCACCATCAAGTACAACTTCAACTTACAAATACAAGTACTACAAGACCAAGTACAACTTGAGTACAAGCACAACACAATCATTCATACAGAACAGCCGGATTCCCCACACTCAGTCACAGACACAGTGCAGACTAGCCTTAAGGGCTCTCTCGAAATGTTTTTTTAATGATATCATTAAAAAAACATTTCGAGAGAGCCCTTAAGGCTAGTGCAGACTCAGTTCACGTTCACACGGGCAGCGCAGCAGGGCGACGCAGTCTGTATACTGCATCACCGCCAATGCCTATCTCTGTGCAAAGTGTGTGAATTTAATTTCGATATGTTGAACAAAATACCCGTTTTAACATTAAAGGTAAAAGAAAATCAGCACACAACATGAACGAAATCAAAGCATATGATCTTACAAAATATAAATTTCCGTCGTATGGATGAAAAGAACCGACTTTAGGTTTTCCAAAATAATAAATTTCCAGTCAAGTTAGACTCGGTGAAGATCTTTGTGATTGTTATTGTGTGTGAACTAAAAACTCACTACATGCGCTATGCAAATGCACGTACAGTAGGCCTATACAGTAGTAAAGAGATATCAGCTTGAATTTCGCTGATACCCAAATTCTCTCATGTCTGCCGCAATATGTTGCGCTAGTTCTAAAAAAATTATGTGAGTGTTGTCAAACTAGAATATACAAACAACGCTGCAAAAAAATAAAGTGCAATCACTTGGCAGATTATTGCGGTATTGAAATGGGTCATACCTTTGTTTATACCGGAGTGTGGATAGGGGCAGCTTAGACCAGTTGCGGATCCAGGGGTACCGGTCCCCACCCCTGGCCATAAAAAACAGTAAAAAACCCTCTCTTTTTTTAAAGAAGAAGACGGGCTCCCACCCCTGGCAAAGTATTAAAAAAGAAACAATTTGTTTGCGCTCAATACCCCCTCCCTCCCCGCTTATTCGCCGGCTAATTCGCCGCAAAATATTTTCTCACGAATTGGGAAGAAAATCAAAGTAGTGCTCATAATGATCCGCCCATGCAGGCTTAAAAAGATGTTGCTCTGCATCTTCTTCTTCTACCTCCGCTTTTGTCGGAGATCAGCAACAAAATGTAATTATGTCGATTAGTCAATTAGTATTTATTGAGAGGAAAGAGATGAGATACGGTTTACATAATGTCATATTGCCCTTTGAAAAAAAAATGTTGACGCCTGTGATGTTCAATCCCTTTTCAATCTCATAAAATGATATATGCTACTTTTCTATCTATGTGAAATAAACTCAGCTAGTCTACGAAGAGTCCGAAGTGGGTCAACGAAACTGAGGTGAAATATTATGAGTGAATTTCCTTCTGGCTTTCATCTCAACAGATGGTTGATTTTTTTTTCAAATTTAGAAACAGGATCGTGCTGTTTATTCGAGAAAGAGTTGTCAGCCTCCTGGCAATTTTTGTTACGTTCGTGTAAACATTTATTACGTTCATGTGTATTTTTCACTGCATTTTGGTATATACCGTACTATATTGTTTTGGCATATATATATTTCACAAATTGTATACAAATCTGTCAACTTATTCTGGCTATTCACCCCCCCCCCCCTTTTTTTTTTTTCTTCTTCTCATAAATAGACAGAAATTGAACTGTTGATTGAAGGGATCGAAGTTATATTCCACACATTCGCATAATATACCCGGCGGCAGATAAAACAGCAGTTTCCCACATATTAAGTATGGTCAGGCGCGTACGCAGGATTTTTTTCAAGGGGGGGGGGGGGGGTTAACATTTTTAAATCAGGCCGAAAATTTCACAACGACTCGGCCAGCCGCTGAATAAGCGGGGGGGGGGGGGGGGTTAAGAGGACACTTTTTTTGTTTTGGTCTTGAAATTTGAAAATGTGACATTTTGCTCCGTTGAGGGGAGGGGGTAAGGTCAACTTTTTTAGGTCAGCCATTGGTATATTTTTTTATTTTTATTTTTATTATTATTTGTAAAAAAAATTTAAAAAAATTACCAAAGGGGGGGGGGGGTTCGTCCAAATACACACATTAAAAATACCAAGGGGGGTGGGGGTTAACCCCTCCCCCCTGCGTACGCGCCTGAGTATGGTGCATAATCAAAGGGTGTTATACCAAAACGATCTGTATCTTTGCATTTAATAAATTAGTTTACTTTTCAACGTTTTGCTTCTACATTTACCGCATTGGAGGGCCTATATAAACTTTTGGTATTTTTATGTATGTAAACCCCCCTAAAAAAACCTAAAACCCCCCCCCCCCCTTTGGTTGTTTTTTTTTATTTTTTTTATTATTATTATTTAAAAAAAATAAAATTAAAAAAAAAAAAAATTATACCCACGGCTAACCTAAATAAGGTGACCTTACCCCCCCCCCCTCCCCCCCAACGACAAAAAATGTCAAATTATGAAATTTCGAGACCAAAAAAAAAAAAATGTGTCCGCTTAGTTGTCAATTATGCGAGAAGTGAAGCAATAAGGCAAAAAAGAAACTTTGTTGTGGTATAAATTTCATTTTGATTTAATATTCTATAAATAAGGTTATATTCGGGAGCCATGTTGCATGCTGCCTGAATATCATCATATCATCATAATTATGGGGACGATCATGGACCTTGCTGCCTGAAAGGTAAAGACCAATATTGGAAATGCCCCAATTTCAAAAAATGAAATGGAAGCTCTCATTACCAATCATGTGAAAGAATATGTTTTGACTAATACATGATGATAAAAAATTTGCCCGGAAACCGCCTACTAATTCATATATTTGGTAAATTTGTTTCTCTCATGGTCTGTGAGAGATATAGGGTAGTCCCATATACATCTTTCTGTGTATAGTGCTTGTAACTTTACGAAGAATGGGCCAAATTTCTTATCATTTTGATGATTCCAGAACCTTGCAGATGCTAGATGCTAGATGATCAACCTTTTCTGATCGATTCCACAACGTTTCTTTCACAAATGCAATCGCATGACCATAACTGGTCTTTACCTTGAAACTGCCTGAAAGCGAGATCTTTGTATATATATATATATTTGTCATCATGCAGTTACTCCAAAACATACTTTCGATATAATAATACTCTCGCTGCACCCGGATGAAAAACGCGCGGTACTAGATGGTCAAAATTTGAAGGGGCAGATTGACTAGGCCGGGGTGGATATACCCCCTGCTCCTTTAGAGTGGGGAAATTTTATATTTTAAAGTGAAACAGACACACTTATCTGTTTTTCCGTATGTCTTCTATCTTTCACTCCAATCTCTATTTCTTTTCTTCTCTGCTGTATGCTATATCAAGGACGCGTATCGATCATCCCAAAGCATTTTTCTATCATCGTTTATAAATGCACCTCTTACAGCAGATTTCATTTCTAACTTATTGTCCCCACTTTACTGATTCACATATCATAATCTTTGAAGAGCTTTTTCGAGCAACCTATCTCCTCATATAGGCCTAATTTAAGTTAGGCCTGTACATAACTATATACGTATTAAATGTAGAATATTCATTAAAACAAATAGGTCCCTTTCTTTATCCCGATTCCTTTCAAACTTCGTAGGAATAATATTATAATAACACAAAATAGTGATTATGATTTGTGTTACCTGTACTTATTTTATGCTGAAAAAAACCAAGAAAAGGGTTGGCAGGGGCTTTAACAAGATCTCAAAGAATTTCGATAAATAATCTCAAGTGAAATTGTACATAATTGTATATTGACTAAATTTCATAGAAATCATGATTGGGTTAGGTTTGTTCTTATCTCGGATTCCCAGAATGGAAAATATCAGAGCCTACTTCTTGATGCCACTCCCCGCCCTTGGACTCTGCTATACCATATTAATTCATCACATCTGCCGACAAGGTAGCCCAACTGTAGCCGAAACTATATCAGGCTACAATATCGAGTCTCACATTTCCAATATAGCTGGATTTTGTTATCATTATTATTTCTATTTTTATTTTACCTGTGGATGATTTTTCTCTCATCTGTTCAATGATTTCGAGTTATGGTAAGATGAAATTCGTCATCTAATTTCGGTCGAATTTGTCATTGGCTTAATTTCACCATTTTGGTCAAACATTATGGCCCAAATTCACAAGGGAGTTTAATCCATGGGCGAGGTCAAGTTTATTTATTTCACTGTATTGTTTTATCGCTACAGTAATTTTGACATCTACACGACTTTAAATAATTCAGCAACTTGTACTTGGCACTAACGATCTAGTGCTTTAATATGGCGTAATGAGGAGCAGCGAAAAATATCAAGACTTGAAGAGCGCCATCTAGTGTAATCATGGTGTACAGCACTAGCCTATCGAAATTACCCTTTTATTTTCATGTTCTTATTCTTAAAATGCAGGGGATAGCACTCGTTGCTAATTTTGTATTAATTTTTGTAAGTTGCCAAATAATTAATCCTATTAATATTGTCCTTTAGACGCGCAGACAGGGGGTGATAAGGCGGTCGCCCGTAAAATACTCCCATTTGGAAATAAGAACCAAAAATGCAAAATAAAGAGAAAACGGTAACAAATAGAGGAAAAGGAAGGAAAGGAAGATTTATAACAGAAATGGAAAATGAGGCCTAAATCACCTTCACTCATATCGATAAATATAGTCACATTAGCAAAATCTGATCACTAAAAGAAATGTGGAAAAAGTCATTTAAACTCAAATCTTGATCTGAACATGTCGAAGATATATATTTTGTCTTCAGAAATCAGAAAATATGCACTTTTTGTTTCTTTTTCAGAACTTGAAAAACAATCGTGAAGGCCCGGCCCCCCCCACTCAGTGTTATTTAGGGTACGCATATGCTCGTACCCTCTTTTTGAAAGCACCCCCTATCTGAGGACTGCCAACATTTCCGAACCCCCCTTTCGCGGGCTTTTCGCGGGCTTTTCCTGCTTTGGAGACCCCCCTAAATCAGGAAAAATGCTCAATGTACCCCCCTAAATTCGGAATAATTTCTCAGGAGTCCAAAGAGATGAGAGAGAAAAAGAAAAACACCCCCTTTTTAAAGAAATCTCCGGGTGAAAAGTCAAATACACCCCCTTTTTTACAAATCTCGGGCCGGACTTTGTCGCACGAAAAGTACCCCTTTACCGGACATTTTGGCAACACGCATGCGGTCATTCCGACCTCTGAGTGGGGGGGGGGGGGGGGGGGGGGGGGGGCCGGGCGTGAAGAGTGGTGGAAAGATTTGGATTATGCCGTTTATGACGGATCAACAGGATTGCATTGATGCTCCGATTTTCGTCCACAAATAGTCAATCTATGCATTAATTTTGGTTCATTCTTTAGATTGTTGTCATTTCTGAAACCATCTCTATTTGTGTAAGGATGTTCTCTTTTCCTTAGAAGTCGATTAAATGATGTTCAAGTTCATGCTTTTGAAGTGATTATGAATCTTATCTATTTCCTCTTTTTTTTCTTTATGATTTAGAACGGTGAGTAGGACTACATCGTTCTGTTTTCAGCATCAAATTAATGAATATTGCCTTTGTCTATTAGTAATTTTGTTTTAAGCAGGATATTCAAAGAAAAAAAAAGGGGAAACATAAAGACAGGAAGAAAGATAAAAAAAAATAAAGGAAGAAATAAAACAAATATGAAGCAAGAACGGAAGAAAGAAAGAAAGTAAGAGAGAATAAACTCGATTAGGCAATGATTTGAGAATACATGCAGTAGGCCTTCTCAATTTTGTTTCTTCCCTTCTTCGTAAAGCATTTTTGCATATTTTGGAATAGCGCCATCTAACAGGACTTGCATTATAACTTAGACGAACCCTGCCCTTTTTGACAAGGACGTGAAGAGAAGCGTGTATTTATTTCTCTGGCTAAACAAGTGATACAAACTTATTGTTTGTCTGCAACTCTGCATAACTACATATTTCATATCCCGACGATTAATATTCGTGTTTTGAACTTGTAATTTCCTTTTGTAAAATGTCCGATGTGAAATATTCGAACTGTTGCTCAGAACAGCCAACATGAATGTTAAAACAAATCCAGCATGTTGTAAATCAATATTTCGCCTATTACTATTTAGCTGCGTTATCATTATTAACAGACGAAAGAAGGAGAAGCTGATACCGAGTGAAAGACCTTAGGGCCTAAGGTCCGCAGGGAAGGGCAAGTCCATTCCAAAAATAACTTACTTTCAATACAAGAAGAAAAATTGGACAAACCAATAAAAAAAGAATTGAGCAAAATCGGACACGTTATGAATTTTTAATGACATGAACATTTTTTGAAAATCACAAAACAAATTGGCCACTCATTCATGAGTCTGTGACGTCCTTACCCCACTATCCACGAATTGTTTTCTTTATATTGATAATATAAATTTGTTTCACCCTGAAATCTTATTTCCTCATACCAGCATCCAAGTTAAATTGATAGTATAGTATATTGATAGTAATATGTTTTTGTGTGGATGCGCTAATATAGAGTTTTTTTCTTCAGTTAAAATCATGAACAATTTTAATTTTCATAATTTTTTTATATAGAAATCAATGACTATGAATATAAAATATTCTGTAAATAGTATACATTCTTTAAAGTTAATAACATTTTGTGTGAAATGTCATGCACGCAATGATCATAAAACCTGGGCAAAAGCATGGGGAAATCAAGCTTTCCGGGGATAAAAAGGGAAATTAATGGGGAAAAAATATATAAAGCAATTAATAAATGGTGAGGCAATGACATCATAAACTGATAACCGAAATGGTCAGTTCCATAGTTGTTCATACTTTAAAAAAATCCCACGAACGACCTACGTGTGGGGGGGGGGGGGAATGCTACAGTGATACAAAAAATGGAGATAATGGCTATTGATAACATGACAATGATAACTATTTCGATAGATAGATAGATAGATAGATTCAGCATTATTCAGCAGGATCGAACTTCACATTCGCGGGGTGAGGGGGTTCGCCGGGAACTAAAGTGCCGCCAGATCATGCCTCCCTCCGGCTCATGGATCAGACGGATCAAATTCAACACCGCCTTCGTCCGTCCTATGACTCCTATCAGCGAATTAAACAAATTTATTATATGATAGTTTATTTCGTTTACTAATGCTCTATGACTTTGTTATCTATATTGAACATTAAAATGCACCCCTCGATCTCTCTCTGTTCGGACCTGGTTTGTGTCCGTATTTTATTAGTTGGAAGGTCAAAGATGGACAAGTAATGTTAATGTTATACATCCTGATAATAAGAAATTTTGATTTAATTGTTGGAATGAAGAGAAAATAATGATTAAAAAAAAGAAAGAAAAGTTGAGATGCGATTATAGTGTATTTAGTTAGTTATTCCGAATCCCTTCCTAATTTGCATAACCGTACAATTTTCCTATTTTCGAGTTGCTTCTTAATAAAATATTTTGCCCAATGTAAAATCATAGATAAAACATCGACTTTATGAGCAATCAAGGCAGGCCGTAGTTTTTGTATTTTATTTCCTCCAGCCAGCTACTAAGCCTACCGGAAGAGTCATCGAACGACTGCCCGCATCACTGGGGTTTGAGTATTGTACTACCAGCGCAGATATTCGGTTCGTAAACAACACACGTTCAGTGCAGTATGCATGCAGTGCGCATATGCAGTCTCTATTTTTAACATGTAGTGCGTTATTTATCGATCGCCGCTGCTAGTGAGAGAAACCGTTCGCGTTTTGTGGTGCACTCTCGGACATTTTTTCTATTTCGTTATGTCGTTTTGTTGAAAAAACAGATACATGAACATGAAAGTGCACACTAGGTCACGGAGATGTCGGAATATATAACATTTTACTGAACGGGAACGATCATAAGTGACATTTTATTAATTTCGTTACGGACGATGGAAACGAAACTGTGTTGTGGACCCGCGGAGCCGAGGCCTGCAGCTTGTGTTGCGGCTTAACTAGGGACGCTTGCTGGGCAGCCGGTAAGAGACGCCGCCGTATTCAGGATGTTTGGTCGGCCGAGAGTTCGAGGGGAGATGTGTGGTGACGAGCGGACAGTGTGTAGGGGCTCGCAAAGCCCGAACTTATTTGAAACAATGTCGCGGTCCAGGAGGAAAAGATGGACAAACATGATGCCTGGAGCTTTGGTGCTATATTTGACTTTATTGTGCATATTTCCAGGAATAGCAAAAGCAGATGACAGAGCAACTACAAATGACATAAACTTATTTGTTGACGAAAATCAACCGAATGGAACTTACGTTGGTTCTGTCGCAGAGGAAGGTGCAACTAGCAACTCGTATTCATTTCTATCTACTCCTCCAGATGAATTTCATCTCAATAGTACTACAGGAATTATCACCACAGCAGACGTCATTGATAGAGAGTTATTACCCAATGATTTGTTCATACTTCCAGTCGCAGTAGTAACATCTTCTGGCACAAATATAGTGGATATTAAAATAACAGTCAATGACTTGAACGATAACTCTCCAGTTTTCCCTCAATCTGTTATTAGTTTGTCATTTTCTGAGAATGCTCACAGTGGCAGTGTTCAGATTCTTCCATCAGCTATGGATGCAGATAAAGACAGTAATGGCTACATCAGCACGTATCTAATTGAGAGCGTGAGTGGCGGTGGAGATGATGCCTTTTTGCTTCAAACTTTCCGTCCTCGTGAAGATGCAGAGTACACAGTCTCACTTGTAACCAACTCACTTCTAGACAGGGAAACGGAGGACTTTTACATCTTAAATATCTCTGCCACTGACAACAGCTCAACCCCTAGGACTGGTTATCTCATTGTCAATGTCACCATCACTGATGTAAATGATAACTCTCCAATTTTCACCCAAACAACCTACTTTGCTACTGTCAATGAAAGCTCTGCAGCTGGAACATCGGTAGTGCACCTCAACGCTACCGACATTGATCAAGGATCGAATGGTGACATTGTGTACCGTCTGAAGAATGAGCTAACGGACAATTTTGCCTTGGATCCTGATACGGGATGGATCACTCTTCTGCGCCAGTTACCTTACGTTGCTAATGGATATCTTTTTGAAGTCACAGCTACAGATAAAGGATCACCCTCCCAATCAAGCTCTGCATTTGTGAATGTAATGGTCGAGGATGAAAATGATCACAGTCCTGTCATTGAAGTGCTTATTCCAGAGATTGAAGCCAGTGGAGTTGCAAGCATCAGTGAGACCATGCTGCCGGGACCCCTTTTCAATCTCAAAGCTATAGATGAGGATAGGGAAGAAAATGGAAGGGTTTCCATGAGCATCCACAGCGGCAATGATCGGAATGACTTTTCAGGGACTTCTATTTCATTGCCAACTGGAGATGTTTTCTTCCTCCTGCGGGTCTCTCCATCTGCTAATATTGATAGGGAGATAATAGCCTCCTACAACCTCACCTTTGCTGCCGAAGATATGGGAACACCACCTCGGAGAACTTACAGATCCATCATCATTTATGTGGTGGATGAGAATGACCATGCACCCATGTTCCTTCAGGAGTCCTACCGCGCAGGCCTTTTGGAATCGATCCAGGTAGGCAGTTTCGTTAAAAGTGTGACTGCTACTGATGCTGATGAAGGTATAAATGCTGACATTGTCTATTCCATAACTGGAGATGAGTATGGATGGTTTCAGATAGATAATGGGACTGGACTTGTGACAACGCGAGAAAAGCTGGATCATGAGACGGCAGCCCAGGTTACCCTGATAATAACAGCATCTGATCAAGGACTGGAACCCATGGCAAACACCACCATTCTTACCATTGATATACAGGATGTGAATGATGAGTATCCTGTCTTTAACCAGAGCTCATACAGTGAGACTGTAGAAGAGAACTCCCCTGCCAGGGATCTGATTCAAGTTCTTGCTACCGATTTAGATAATGGGGTAAACGGAGATGTAACCTACACTTTCAGCAGTGACCAGTATTCGGGCATGTTCAGTCTAGATCCAGAGAGTGGATTGCTGCAAATAACAGTACCCCTAGATCGTGAAGAACAAGATTCCTATGAACTTGAAATCTTGGCATCAGATGGTGGTTCCCCTTCACTTCAGGCCACAGCTACTGTCACTATTGCTGTATTAGATCAAAATGACAACCCTCCACAGTTCTACCCTACAGAGTACTATGCCAGTGTGATAGAGAATGGACCAGCTGGACTCTTTGTGACTGTGGTTTCAGCAACAGATCTTGATGTGGGTGTTAACGGAGCTGTCATTTTCTCTCTGTCAGACTCATCCAAATTCCAGATTGACAGCTATTCCGGAAACGTTACCACACGAGAGTCACTGGACAGGGAACAGGAATCTTCATATACCCTGACAGTAACTGCACAAGATGGTAGTGGACAGGCTGCTGCTCAGTCTGCGACAATTTTTGTTACTGTCACTGATACACTGGACAATCCACTTGAATTTGAACTGAATCCTTACAGGTTTCAACTGGAAGAGAATCGTCCAAATCGCACTGAAGTTGGAACTGTCCTAGCTACAAGTATGGATCTGAATGTTGAAATCACATACGTGATTGTAAATGGTGATCCAAATGGACTGTTTGTGATAGACTTCTATTCTGGTGTTATCAAGACGACGCTCTCAATTGATCGAGAAGCACATGAATCAGCTTCCTTTAGGTTGACTGTGTTAGCTGTTGATGGGTCCCAGAATGGACAGACTGTTGTTGAGATCGAGATATTGGACATTAATGATAATGCACCAGTGTTTGCCCTTCCGGAAGATCAGGTGGATGTTGTTGAAAACTGGGCTGTTGGAAACAAGTTCTATGCAGCACAAGTCACTGATGCAGACAGTCCCCCAAACAATGTGATCCTGTATGATTTATCTGTAAACTTTGATGACCGTTTTGGCATCAATCATACTTCTGGAGTGCTGTTCTTGAACAAGGATCTGCAAAACTACCCAGAGAAGGAGTATAATCTGCAAATCCAGGCAACGGACTATGGTACCCCACCCCTGTCTTCCAGTATGAACCTTCTCATCACCGTGCGAGATGTCAACAACAATGCTCCTGTCTTCGTTGACTCCATCAACACAACTCTGAGACTAACAGAATCCATACCTGTAAACAGCATAGTCATCCATGCTTTGGCCACAGATGCCGATCAAGGTACCAACGGACTAATCTCCTACCGCATCACCAGTGGAAACACAGACAGCTTCGGGATCTTCCCTGATGGCATGGTCTATGTCAAGCGAGCATTGGACAGGGAGCAAGTTGACCAGTATGACCTGACCATTGAAGCTACAGATGGTGGTGTGCCATCCATGACATCTACCCTTATGCTGGAAATCATTGTCCTTGATGAAAACGATAACCGACCATTCTTTGACAATGCCACCTACAACTTCTACCTATCAGAGGAAGATGATATCGGTGCAGCTGTTGGCACGATCCATGCAGTTGACAATGATGTTGGTGGTAATGGAGAACTTACCTACTCATTCACAGCAAATCATACTCTGTTTACACTGAACTCTGTTACTGGTGCCATAACATCTAAAGTGAGCCTTGACCGTGAAAGCCTTGTTGAAGCTGGACAGCCAACTACCTTTTCTATTCGTGTTCGAGTCCATGATAGTGGACAACCACAGCTTCAAGATCATGCTGATGTGAACATTCATGTTGTGGATATTAATGACAGCCCTCCTGTTTTCAACCGTGAGAGTTACCAGGCCTCGGTTTCAGAACTGGCACAGAATGAAACGTTAATCATCAGAGTCAGTGCAACCGATGATGATGTGGGAGATAATTCCTATATCCTCTACAGCATTGTCAGTGGAAACGAAGAAAAACGATTTCACATAGATCATGTCCATGGCCAGATAGTCCTCATTGCTCCCTTAGATCGTGAAGTGACTGAAGGCTATGTTCTGAGGGTAAAGGCACGTGATGGAGGAATTGTTCCACAAGAATCATTTGTAGAAGTAGAAATCACAGTCCTGGATGAGAATGATCACCGCCCCTCGTTTAGTGTAGATTTGCAGCGAGAAATTGAGGTTACAGAGTGTCTCCAAATTGGTGATACCATTGGTGGTGTTCAAGCAACAGACATGGATATCAATAGCAATGGACAGATCTCTTACACAATCACTGGAGGTAATCTTGATGGAGTGTTTGGAGTGAATGCTAACTCTGGAGAAGTATACCTTACAGGATACCTTGATCATGAGGCAACATCTCAGTACTCCTTGAACATAACAGCTCGTGATGGTGGCAGTCCTTCTCTTCAAGCTGTGGTGTCCATGGTCATAAATATCAGAGACTGCAATGATAACAGTCCTATCTTTGCCTATGTGGGAGTACCTGAAATCGATGAGGAAAAACCAGAAGGATTTGAAGTTGTCAGAGTCAGTGCTTCTGATTCAGATTCTGGTGTCAACGGTGAAGTACGCTTTTCTATCTCTAGTCAGCGACCTTCAGGAGACTTCTTTGCCATAGACCCAGAGAGTGGCTGGATCACTACCAATAGTCGCATTGATAGAGAATCTGAAATTATGGCAACAGATCAATTTATCCTCACTGTCCATGGCACTGACCTTGCTGTACCTGTGGAAAGCAGACGTACTGCCACTGTTGATGTTGTCATCTTTGTCAGAGACATCAATGACAATGCACCAAGGTTTACTTCTCAGCAGGCAGCTGCCATATCCAGAAGCACATCAGCCAATACCAGAGTAACCACTGTGCATGCTGATGATCCTGATACTGGTGTCAACGGCCAGGTCACCTACACATTAATCTCTACTGGGGTGCCTTTTAGACTGGACCTGATCACCGGTGAACTGACTCTGACACAACCGATCCCCTCATCAGCCAACATCTATTCCTTGGACATCCGAGCTGACGATGCTGGAAGCAACCCTCAGCAGCAATCAACACCCTTCTCACTGGCCATTATCATCTCAGATGGCCAGAGCTCTATTCTGAACTACGTCCAGAACACCTACACTGGATCTGTACGTGAGAATCAACCTGCAGGAACTGAAATTGTAACTGTTGTGGCTCAGTATTCTGATGGCCGCTCTGCGACGGTGAGGTACTACGTTTCTGCCGTGACTGCAGGAGGGGTGGATAAGGGAAGCCTGATCAGGGCCAGCGTTACCAATGGAATTATACGTACTGATGCTGTCTTGGACCGTGAAGACCTGGGTGGAGGATCGTCCCTGGTGGCAACTGTCTATGCTGTGGATACAAGTTCTTCATCTTCTCATGTCACAAGTGTGCAGGTAAGATAATTGGTTTTATAATTTTATCTTTATAACCACTGATACCATAAAAAAAGAAACATGTACAGATCTACAGTGTACGTACAAAAAAAATTTGGGGAGAGGTCCACTAATATTATAATTTATGAAAGTTTTCATGTTTCCTTAAGCTACGGTCACAAAGGTTCGTACGAACGATGCGTTCGTACGAATCTCCCTGTTTTTCCATTGTCTTCCCGAATTTCCATTGTCTGCACATCGTTCGTACGGCGTTCGTAGCAGTTCGTAATGGCATTTGTGACCGAGGATTAAGTTTCTGGTTTTATGGTAACAAGCAAAACCCATGCCAGAATAACATCAAGCATGATTGCTTGCACATACTTTATTTCATTGTTTCACTTGTAATGGTTGACATTATTTTTCCATACACCCGTAGCCCTAAAAAAGTACTGGGGGTTCATTAGATATTTTTATTTCACAATCTAACTGTTAATATGAATGTGCAGGGAATGTAAGAGAGAGAGAGAGAGCGATGAGGGAGTCTTGGTTAAAGGGGAGTAGTAGAAACGATGGACATTAATTCTGACAGTTGTTTTTATGAGATGAGCAGGGCTTCACACTAACTGTTTGGGAGGGGGCCCAGTGAACCACTTACAGTCTACAATGTATATGAGCTCTATGTAAAAAAAAAAAAAAAAATTTAGGGAACTGGACTTATTTTTCTTGGTCGATATGTCCTGGGCGCCTGTTAGTATTGAGCCCTTGACGAAATATGCTACCTACATGTTACATTGTATTGATAATTTGATAGTGATACCAAGACTAAGATTAACTGAACATAATTAAAAACATGTTTTACCAAGTATCACGCCCTTTGAATAGTGACCTTGGAAACCTTTGTATAGTTGGATTTTAATTGTTGCATACATCAGCCCCAGTTCAAAGGCGAACACAGATATTAGGGGACCATCATTAAACAGAATTTCAGTTGCTGTCACCATATTTAAGAGGCGACAATAGATATATTCTCTGTGAACTCATACAGAAAGCTCTGCCCCACTGCTTTCTTGCAGATTGCGTGCGAGCTAATAGTTTGTCACCTGTCTGGGCCTGTTTCATTTGAAGCTTCTTATCAATAACAAATGCTGAAATTCTATCAAATGCCATGATTTCAGTAGCTTATAAAAATTAGCCTATCTTGTTATTGATATTAAGTTTTAGGAAACAGGGCTATGGTTTGAATACAGTAGGAGCAAATATCAATTTTTTGGTCACTTCAGAGCTACAGATATTCCTATTATTTATTCATATTGTTTGCATGTTCAAAAAGAAAAGAGGACAATTCTTTTCATTAAATCTAGGGCAACGGTAATTTGAAAACATGCTTATATTGTATGCCTCCTACGTGTACATACTGAACATGTACAGTTCATGTATACTGTACAATGGTATTTAGGAATCAAATGGTCTACATGACTGTATATGAATATTGCATACGTTAACATCTCTCTTTCAGTACTGAAGAATGCTACTAATTCGTTGCAGAATTGGATTATAATATTTCACAATCTCTTGAGAGGTTGCCTACTTATAGGTGAAGAATATCAGTGTTGGACATCATTGCAGCTTCCAAGAGAGATGCAGTGATTTTGAATTATTGTTACAAATCCTAAAATTATTCTCACTGGACATTTTTTGTAAAAGATTAAGCTCTATTTAACAAAAAAAATCCCTTTGGGACTTTGTGCAAGTGACAGAAAGGGATTATTGCTGTCTGGGCTGTGTGTGGTATGGATGGACTTCTATGGGAGCTTTAATGGAGGGAAATTTTCTGGTAGCAGACAGCTGGACCTATTCACCACCCCTGCTTATAAGAGCTTTCCATGCATTTTAATTCTGTAATTTAGCCTGCTCAGAGTGCCCCCTTTTGAGAGTTCTTATCCAAATCCTGCCCCCTTTTGAAAGTGTTTATGTGATGAGCATATTGATTAAATCCCGGTGTGTCAGAAATGTACTGGTCTAGAAAGCAGCGTTTGGGATGAAAGCCACACAGAAGCATAGTATTTTTTTTCAAAGCATGTACTGTACATGTACATGTAGATGTAGGTTCTGTAATTCGATTGATAGTTACATTTGTTATGATGGCAATGGGGCCTAGAAATTGAATCATAAGTACATGCTGGCCTTCGTCTAAATTTACAGATGCATTTAGAATATGGGCAGATGATGTCATTTAAAGAGGTTACCAACATCTATTTACGTTACATTAGAACTTTAAAAAAAAACATGTTTTCTTCTTAAATATACTGGGTGCAAAAAGAAAGCAAAGTGGCATTTGTCATTAAATTAATCATTACCACACTCTTACAGAAGAAGACTTCCTAAAGAATGGATATATAGTATTCCTTTTCCAAGAAAGTATCCAACATTCTCAAACTTATTTATACATGTATATTGTATATTTTTGGCCTTATTCATTCCTTCTTTATATGGTGGCTTAATTAAAAACAAGCAAACAATTAGTTGACTATTTAAATGTACTGCTATGGTTCATTTATATGCATTTAGTAACTGCATGGATTTATATACGATGTAGCACTACAAAGCAACATGTACACTGTAGGCCTACATGTACATGTACATGTACGTGAATCTACTCAGGGCTGAATATCCTTGTTGCAATTTTTGTCTGTTTTCAGGGGATTATGATACACTTACTACCATTAGAATTGGTGTAAATAAAATGAGTGTGGATTAAGGCATTAGTTTTAAAGAGCAATTATAAACCCTTTGTGAAGGACCATGAATGACCAGGATAAAGGATTTAATCCAGATTAAAGCAACAAAGGGATTAACATCATGTTGTTTAGGTGGTAATGAGCACCATTCTATGTTGCTGGACCACGTGCAGTGTTAGTTTATCTACTATACCCTATAGATTTAACTTGAATTCTTTCCTAATGTCAATCATAGGGCTATTTGACTTTGACCAAGTCATTTGAGATAATGTCTTGAACTTTGAAGTGAACTGCCAATGCAAATATATCAGTGACATACAGTAGTTAACCCACATTTTAATGATATAACAAAGGACTGTGATTTTTGATCACTCCAATGTTGATATCATAAATTGGTTCAAACTTCATTTTTGAGAACTCAGTTGATGATGAACTACATGGACATTCTCCAGTTCTCACAAAATTTTGAATTCAAATAAAAATAGATGGGAGTTGAAAATCAAGCTTAAAATCTTGATTATGAAAAAGAAAACACATGTATGTAAATAAAAATCAAGCATGTTTAAACCAAATCCCCAAAAGAAGAAAAAAGATTTTAAACCTGACTCACTTTATATTACTTTAAAGATAAGGCACTGGTTTTTTTAACTATGACCAAATACCTAAATGGCCCTTTGAGAGCCTGAAACTTTCCAAAGATAAAGAATTAGAAATCAGTAACAACTTTTTCTTGTAGCATGGACCTAGGTTAACCTCCCATAGCTTAACGAAAAATTTTCATCGTTGCTTTATGCGCATGAGATATCCCTGAACAGCAAATTGTTTACGGAATTTTGTAACAAAATTGACATGCCACTTTGGTCGGAGCTGAAAAAAATTTATAGCCACAAACAATATGTTTTTTTTCTATTGATGATTAATGAGCATGAGTGGATCTTAAAGAAACTTAACAGTAATCTGAATCAACTCCCCTATTTTAATGGAAAAGTGCAATTGAAAATGGCGTTTCGGACGTTACATTGTCCGTAAACAATGTAGACCCTCATTTAACCCACTAGAACAACAAATTAATGAGATTGTATATGGTTTGAGTGAGTTTATTAGTTGCTCCAAGTGATTATATTAAAAGAAAATGTAATTTAATTATAGTAGCGCTTATATTAGAAATATACTCAAAGTTTGAAAAAGTTGTCTCATTTTCCGTAAACAGTTTTGTAACGTCCGAAACAATTTTTAAGTTGAAGTAGCAGAAAATATATGAACAGCAGGATATATCTATCATTACATTTTGTTAACATCTCATGATAGCTACCCACCAAAACAAAGAAATTTGCAATACATTACTACAATACTATTTTATAGTTAAAACCAATTTTCCGTTAACAGTTGTAACGTCCGAAACAAATGTAACGTCCGAAACAAAAAATACCAATAAAATGATAATAATCCATATTTTAAGGTATCTAGAGTGAATAAATCATTATGAAATAAGTTATTATAAGTCTTAACACAAGTCAAAACACAAATCAGGTCTTTCAAATCCATTAATTTGTTGTATTCACAAGAATGGTGTTTCGGACATTACACAATTATATTGTTAACACAAAGTCGACAAATTTCACCTAATTTTCGATCATATCTGTAAGTTACCATTTCACAATGGACACTCCTGTTAAAAACACTATTTTGATGATTTTATTCAGATTTAAATATAAAAATGTGTAGAAATATGATGCCAAAAATCAAATAATCCGTAAAATATCTAAATTTTCTGCAAAATTGACTTATAAAACATAAAATATTGAAGCCACACTTTGTGATGCAAGGCATGGTTGGCTGCTTCAGTATATCCTTAATTGTAATTTATCAGAAAAAATCTCAACAAAAGTGACTCATAACAAATATTCAGCCACTTTAACAGCACTTTCTGGTATGCTGTTAGCACGTTTCGGACGTTACATTAAACTGTTAACAGACATTTTCATACTTTAACTAGTTCAAATGAGGGGCAATGATAGATGTGAGAATAGCAAATTTCATTTGTTCAACCTCTCCTTTTGCTATTTACATTGGTGTGTGTTTGCAAATCATGAGGTTTTCATTTTTATAGAGGTTGTTCAAAATGATGTCATATAACCAAAGATTGTATGGTCAATTTACACTATCTGGTAGGTTACAAAAATCAAAATCACCCACTTAAGCAATACCCAGTGTGCATGGTCATGACATGGATATGATACAGGTATATGAAGTTGATAAAATCAAGCAAATTAAAATGTTTTTCTAA